TTTAAAATTAAAATTATGAAATAATCTGATTTATTTAATTAATTTGCTAATTTATTTAGAAAAAAATAAAATAATTTAATTAATTCAATATAAAAAATAAAAAAATTATTTAGTTTCGGTTCTTATTCGATTCTTCTGTTCTTGGTCTAGACCCGAGACCCGACCAAAATCCATCGGTTCTCGATTCGGGTACCCGTTCGGGTATTTAATTTATGAAGAACCGCTCAATTCGGTTCGGGTTCGGGTTCGGTTCAGTCCGGTTCGATTCGGGACTTTTGGACACCCCTAGATATTGCATCGCAAATTGTAGATTTGTTGGCCATGCAGACCGTAAAGAAACAAACTTGGGCATGTTTAGTTGAGCTTAAAAAGTTTGCTTATAAATCAATAAATAAGTTTGTTTCAAAATAAATAATGTTTTTTGGATAAAAATGAAAATAGATATATTACTTATTTAACAATTAAGGTAGATATCGAATGATCATTGATGTCGAGAAATTCATTTAAATTTTTATAATTCAAAAAAGAAAAAAAACTGTTCAACCAGGATGAACTTTTAAATAAAATCTTAGAACCTTGGCTTTAGTAGATTAAAATCAAATTTTTTGTATATTTTGATTATAAAAAATTTAAAAAGTATATGATTGAAAAGTTGTGAATCACATAAAATATGTGATTAAAATTAATTGTTGACTTTGACTCGAAATTTTAATTTGATTTTAATCCAACAAGCGATAAAATTGCACAATAATCTACCAACTATTAATAATAACAAAAAATTAAATAATAATTAGAAATTACAGTTAGAAAATAGAATTTTCGGTTTCAAATTTATTTTTTGGAATGAAAGTAAAAGTTTGAGCAAAAATTTGAGTTCATAAATGACTAATATAAAATTGCCTTTTATTTCTATTTTTCTCAATTTTAGGAGAAAAAATATTACTTCAAAAACTATATAGTGCATGAAAATCTTCAACGTGTGGCTCCGTCAGCTCATTCATCTTCCATCAAACACAACATTTTCTTCTCATCTTCATCACCCCCTGGTTATACTTCCTATCATCCTACACATTACAAGAAAGATATCAACACTAGCTTTTGCGAATTCTCAATCATGGCCTCCGCCACTCTCTCCCCTCCCACCCCTTCTCAGATAAAGATGAACACTTATTCCCAATTCTTTTACCTGCAGAATCTTGCACTGACATTCTTGTTTTTAATTTCCAGCTTTGTTCAAGCAAGAATGGGCTGTTTTCCCCATGCCAAGCTGTAATGTTGAAGTCCACAAGGAGTCTTCAAAAGGGAAATGGAAAGGGTAATTAAGAAGATTAGATGCCAGGCTACCAGCATTCCAGCCGACCGGGTGCAGGACATGGGAAAAAGACAACTGATGAACTTGCTCCTTTTGGGTGCTATTTCATTCCCCACTGCTGGCATGCTGGTTCCTTATGCTTTTTTCTTTGCACCCGTGGGTTAGTTATGTTTTATTTCTACCTCATCTAAAAGATTATGTTATCAGAGAAAATGAAGGAAAGCTAAAAGATATTTGATTCAACAGGTCAGGAGGTGCTGGGGGTGGTCAAGTGGCCAAGGATGCCCTTGGTAATGATGTAATAGCATCAGCGTGGCTAAAAAACCATGGACCTGGTGACAGAACCCTTACTCAAGGCTTGAAGGTACTCGTTTCTCATTTCATATCATCGTGTGTGCACCAAATATGTCCTGTTGATTTGCGAGAGATGTCTGATGTGAAAAACAGGGAGATCCGACCTACCTGGTCGTCGAAAATGACAGAACACCAGCAACCTATGGTATAAATGCAGTGTGCACACATCTAGGATGTGTTGTGCCATGGAATGCTGCAGAGAACAAGCTCATTTGTCCGTGCCATGGTTCTCAGTACAACAATCAAGGCATGGTTGTTAGAGGACCTGCTCCTTTGGTAAGCCCAAATTCTACTAGATAAAAATCCATCGGCTATTCGCATTTCCCCCCTTGTTTCTTTTAAATTTGTCGTGTGCTAACAAATATATATGTGCTCTACTATTGGAACGGTCCTTGGCTCTGGCGCATGCAGATGTTGATGATGGAGAAGTTGTGTTTATTCCACGGGTTGAAACTGATTTCAGAACAGGAGATGCTCCATGGTGGGCTTGAAGTCTTCATATTGAAGATTTTGCTTTGTTTTCTACATTTCCATTTAATTCAGGAATACAGAAAACTTCAATCGAAGAAAAATGGTATACATGTGCAAATTGACCATGTTATTATTTTCTTACCTTTGATCGTTATGCCTTGTTCGAGGAAATGATCAAAATAAACATGGTTCACTCGAAAAAGAGTTCCGTAGCTAATTATCCGAAAACTATGCACAAGCACATCTTGATCTTCATAAATATGTCACATAGAATTACAGTATGAGTGATTTTCCTAGCAAACGTTGGCTACACAAAAGAAAATAATGGACAGCAAACAAGCCGAACCCCCAACACAAATGAATTTCTTAACAAACCTGTGTTTTGGCTCTATGACTTTGCTCGCTAACGCTTCTTAACTAAGCCAAGCAAACTTCCCTGACGAACACTATTTATCGTCTAGCATTAGGCCCATGTTTGACAATCATTCTTATAGAGCACTTTTTTTCAAACTTATTTTCAACTACACATTTTCACAACAAAATATGTTAGATGTATACTCAAAACTTTTTCTTACTTTTTAACTACAATTTCTCCAAAAAATTACTATTCAAACTCATTTTCTCCAAATAAATAAATAAATAAAATTCTTTCTAATGGTTGTCAAAGATGAGTTAAAAAGGTATTGAAGATCAATAAAATATCCGCTCAAATAACAGATTAGTACTATAAATTGACTTCTTTCCATCCATCCTGCCTATTCAATCAAGCGTCAATAGTGCTAGGGGGGAGTTGTATTCGAAGAAGACGACTTTGGCCCTTGGGGAGGTGGCTGAAAACCATTTTCTTTAGGGATGGACGACGGATTTAGATGGCGGAGGTGCTTTGCGGATAGGCACGTAGTACACAGAGTTCAGTACAACGAGAAATGCCAGTAAAACAAAGTAGTAGTACAATGCCATACAATTCAACGCATGTACTTGATTAGCTCATAGTACTATATAAAACCAGAGAGGAGACCCAGGATTGGATTTGATTGGATCCAAGCAATGATGAGCAAACTAAGGGTGAGATTGGAGAGCCTAAAAATGTCATTGAGTGCAGCGTTGATGATATCCATTTTCAACAAACGTGATTTCATCTACGCTGCACTCAATAATGTTTTAAGATCTTCGAAGCAATCAACCATGGCAACAAATTAATAGGATAAGGCAGGTTTTTTTTCATTTCCTTTATCCATTTGTTGCCATTTATCTCTGCACTCTTTCTCTTGATTCAAAATTATGAGGAAAAAAAGGTAAATCCAAACCCTCAGATTCCTAAACCTCTGTATTATCTCCAAAATTAGAATAGAGAAATCAGAAATGCTTTTTTTATGACTAGCTGCTAAATCCTGCTCACAAGTACAAGAATTGTGCACGAGTAGTTTAATTGTTGATCTGCTGATTTAACAAAGAGTAATACAAGTAGAAACGAATAACAACGAAAAACTAACGCATTCATGAATTCAAACCGTGAAAGATAATTTTCAAACAAAATACCAGGACTTCAAAAATGGTAGAGATCTGTACAGAAGGAAACACAGCCACGCTTGGCCAAGGTGAAAGATGGAAGGGACTCGAACCCATTAATTCTTCCCCTCTAGGTTAAAAGCAGGACACAAAGTACTAAAGACTAAACCAACCTCACGTAGAAAGTATAACAGTAGACTACAACCAAAATAATTCTCTCTCTCCTCTTTCCTCTTTGATTGAAATTGTTGAACAGAAAAGGGCATTAATAAAATTGCAAAGAAAAGTATATCACAGTAAACAGCAAAAGCATTGAAAAATGATTTTTATTTCTTTCCCCCCACAATGGCTAAATTGTTCTCTATTTCTTGGACGACAATTTTCAAATATCTCGTTTCCTCCCTAAGCATTATTTTAACAAAATTGGTTTTAGAAATGAAGAATATGGAGAAACCTTTATGGGGCCATCAGTCCTTCAATTGTATAGACAAGAGACTCTTCCAGGTTAATTTTGAAAAGCAATGCATGCAGGGTCTTCAGTACATCATACTCTGGATCAAGCTTATGCTGCCACCCCTACAGGAGAATAAGAATGATCAGGACATAAAAATGCACAATGCTAGCAAATACCTCATTTATCTGTTATTCAGAAATAACAAAATGTGAAAATGATTATCCATCTTATCAGGTCCGAAGTCCTCCACACTCTTCATCACCATTTCATCCCATAAATTTGGATTAGTTCATGGCACATATGACAAATAAGCAACTTCACTTGACAATTTAGAACTCAAATGTCACAATGGTAATTTCTAGACTTGAAGCAGATTTGTTGACCCAATTTCTATAATGTAATTGTGCAATGTTCAGAGCTCCTCCATGCAGCAGGTTCTATCAAAATAATTTCTAATATCTCAAGAATTCTATCTTGGAGAAAATGTTCTGACAGAAGAAAGTCAGGAAATAGAAAATGAAAAAGGGAAAGTTGATGACCTATTAGAAAAAGGAGTGCAAAATAGAAGACATGAAATTCTGCTAAACCCAAGAGAAATTTCTGTTTTATTATTACTTAGAGAACCATAATCCATTCTGCCATTGTTTTATACATGCAATTTGTTGATAAATGAAATCGATGCTGCATATAAAGGTCAAACTTCAATATTTTGTTAGTCAAAGGTAAACATGAGATTATTTCAGAATAATACTATTTCTACTCCTGCTTTTAGAGTGTAGGAGGATAATACCAATTATATTATTCAGTGCTTCATCATGCTCTAACACAATGAGAACTAGTTTTAGTTTTAATGTTTTGCAGCAAAAAAATGTGCTGGCGATCTAGCTCTGTCCTGTTCCTACAGTGTGGAATCAAACCAAGCAGGAGTTTAGGTTCGAAGGCTTGTTTGCAAAACAATTGGAGATGCGAAGAATGTGTCTATAGCATTCTAGCTTGAAATTGTTTGCAAAATCCTATTGGATATAAGACGCAAGACAGTTAAATTGAGATGAGATTTCTTGATTCCAGGGCTTAAGATCCAGCATCAATATAAGGAAGGCAGAAGTTACCTCCAGCACCATAGTAGTTACAATCACAGTACAAATGTTGCCATCAATGTTAACTCTGTGACGTCTAACTTGCTCAAGCAACTGTTGCATGCAATCAGCTGCTTGAAAATCGCCTTCAGCTGAACGCCACAACTCGAAATCTTTCTCCACTTCCTATCCAAGTAGTCAACCTTTTCTCAGAGATTGAATTAATCAAAGCAGAAGTAAACTTCCATGGTGGATCACTTTCTGCACATTCACCAACAGAACACAACATGCACATGCAATACATAATAAATAATTCTGATGGAAATGCTCGAGTAAATGCAATTTTTTAAAGGTTTGTCTTTTATCTAGGAGATCAAATTCTAATAACCCCTGAATATGCCTTGCCAGACATGAACCCAACTCATGCACTAAAACAAGTTCATGGGTGCAGTATGTCACAAGTGTGAGCATTGCACATTGAATAGGTGTGTCACCTCTGTATTTGCATAACAATAGTCTCAATGAAACAGTACAAACTCGTTTTATTAGACTCCAAGTGAGTTTGACAGCCATAAAGTTGAAATAAAATTTATATGTATGGCTAATCCATCAAACTGTTCTAAATGAATGCTGAAAAAGTGTTCTTTCCAAAGCCTCATGCAAGGAGGTCGATCATATAAAGAAATATGCTACATACTCTTCATTTTTATGTAAACTTCATTTTTTCCCTTCCATAACACAGTGCGTGTTAACGTACCCAGCCAGTCTTTGAAAAGGATAATCAATCTGTACATTCTCAAGAAAGAGCCCAATACCAAACATCTGCTTTTAAGTGTATATAATATTGGCACATATAGATGTATCATGTATTGTAGCAGATGGATCAGCGACACAATTGAGAATGACAAATGTAAAAAACTTCTTGGCCTGTCACACCTCTGTAGTTTTTATTAAATGACAAGAAAGCAGCAGTAAGACAGCAAAAATACCTCAATGAATGCCTGTGGATATGGGCAGTTCTGTTTGTTAGATAATCTAAGAGTGTACTCTGCAGCAGCGCGACCATCTTGAAGTGCCACTGCCTTAAAGAACTCCAGTAGATTGTTTCGATCCTTCTTAGGAAGTTCAGCAGTCATTCCTACATCAAGGAAAATTACATGAGGCCTGGACTTAAACAATGCTTTCGCTGAAGTTTTGCCCTGAGATACTCTAACAAGAATGTTTCCTGGATGCATGTCGGCATGGAGGAAATTGTCCACCTGGAAATGTGAAGAGTTGAGAAATATCATGAGATCATCTTATAACATAACCAATACCACCAGCTAAATAAGAAATTCCCCAACCACCCAACCTAGCAAGAAATTAAAAATGAGAAAATCAATTGGCATAAACTCAATACTGGATGGGATATGTTGAAATAGCGAGGAGGAAAATCTTCACCGAGAACTTGAGTTAAGGCCATGGCATGAACATTATTCGACACATTTAAAAAGATATGATAACGAATAATGAAGTGGTACTTATCCTTAATCTTGCTTAGCACCCAAAAAGAATCAGATTGTCTCTAATGCATGCAGTATTGATATAAATAAGGTTTCAAAAAGAAAACTTGATATACATAAAACATGTTAAAGATATCCAAAGCACTAAGGCAAACCCAATTTTCATCTGCTGAAGAAAAATAATAATAGGTTGCTATGAGTTTCCTGCACAACTGTGTCCTTCTCATGGCCGGACTGGAGCATCCCTCTTCAAGTTATATATATCACCTATTCAAATCTATGTATCTTTCTAATGAAAACAATTCTACTGCTTCACAGATCTTATTTTAACTATTTGAAACTGCTTTTTTAACATTGTTGTGTATTTACAATCAGACCAGAAAAGTAATAGAAGTCCATGAATTTACGGAATCATACCAAGAGCATCTTCAAAAGTGCATGAGTCCCAATATGAGCAAGGGCACTTTTAATGTGTTCATGCCCTTCCAGTTTGTCAACATAGTGAAGAATATTTTCACCTTGCTCATAAGTTTCCACTAGAACAGCAGGATGTACAAATGGATATAGAGGTTTTGGGAATGAAACATCCTTCCAATGACGGAAATTGTAAATAAAACGACTCAAATTAGCTGC